AAGAAGATATTATCTTTCCAACCTGATTCTAGGGGAAAATGGGCTCCGAATCATGAAGGATCGTATGTTGTTAAGAAGGTTTTCTCTGGGGGCGCCATGATTCTTACGAATATGGATGGTGAAGAGCTCCTGCGCTCCGTGAATGCCGACGCATTCAAGAAGTACTTCACCTAAAATTGAGATGACAGCTCGCTAAGTTGAAAACCCGAAGGGGCGGCTTAAGCAGGCTTTTGATCAGACCAATCACAGCAAATTTGAGCACACCTTGGAATTCAAAGTTGTTAGGGAGAATAGTGGTCATTATTTTTGTAACCTTTTCTTTCATGTACCATTTTCCAAATTTTTCTAAACCTTTGGAGTCGCGCCATTAGCGGATTACCATCTTATTAGTGAAATTTGAGCATTTATTCTTTTTTGTGTTTTTTTATCTGGCAAAGTTTCAGTTTTTATAGCGATATTTGAAACAAAGTTAATTAGAGTATTCCTACCCTGAAATGTGTCGTGAATACTGGAAGGAATATTAACAGTTACTCCAAGAATGGTTAAGCCTTGAAATGCAAAACAACATAGTAATTCATCCTTGTATAATTAATAATGGTTTCTTCCTTCAAAATAATCATGAGGTGTCGATTGTGTGATCTTGTGTTCCCAGTAGAGTACTAAGCTTGGTGACTCCCCAGCAATCCCGGTTAAGCCTTGATCCAGTTATTTCTAGTTAATCAAGTTTTTCCCCCTAACCAAAGTGAAGTAATTTTTGTTGTCATGTCAGTGGTTTATTGATGTTAGAAGATTGAAATTTGGGTATGGTCCTCTTCAAAGAGACTTGAGCCTTGTAATATGATACGCTCTGACGATTCCTTTTGTTCTATCTCCAGTTATTTTTCCTATCTCTTTGAGATTAGCCAAGTATCTGGTTGTTTTTTGATGTCTTATCATCTTCAGTTTATCTCCTCTATCTGTTTTGTCAGCATATACATGACATTCATTTATTCATTCACACTTGCATCATGCATGCACATTCGTATTTGTCTATTTTATTGGATTCATATACCTTGGTAATGTATATTCAAACAGCGTATTTGCTTTTTCCAAATAGAGTGTCAACTTAATCAGAAAGTGTGCCTCCTTTCTAATTCCCCAACTGAGCTAATCCTCGTGGAAGAATCTTGCTTTAGCCTTTCTTTTCCATCTCTGGATAGGATAAATCCCTAATTTAGTTATTTCCTCATTGGGTGGAGTCTTGTTTGATTGTTTTCTCTCCGGTTTATTCTTGGATTGAGCTTTGTCTCTTGCATATGCTACCCCGTGGTTTTCTCTAGGCTATGAAACCTAGACGAAGAGCGCATTTATTTTTCACATTTAAATACTTAGTTTCCTCAGGAAGGACCTATTCATGGTTCCATATTGAAAAAGAACTTTATTCCCTAGTAGTGTTATCACAACATTCTTCTGGAATATCGACGTGACAAAAAGTGGCGGACTCTTCATGAGCAGCTTGTGCATTATTGATATCTTTGGAAAGTAGCAAGTGGCGGACTCTTTATGAGCAGCTTGTGTATTATTGATATCTTTGGAAGATAACGAGTGGCGTTTTCTTCATGAGAAGCTTGTGTATTATTGATATCTTTGGAAGATAATAAGTGGTGGACTCTTCATGAGCAGCTTGTGTATTATTGATATCTTTGGAAGATAGCAAGTGGCGGACTCTTCATGAGCAGCTTGTGTATAATTGATATCTTTTGAAGATAGCAAGTGGCGGACTCTTCATGAGCAACTTCTGTGTTTATTAATATCCTTTGAAGACGGCAAGTGGCAGCCTCTTTATTTGAGCAGCTTGTGTATCCACAATAATATGTTATTTCAGTATCAAATGGTATCTCTCCGGAAAAGTCCCGCAGAGAAGTTCGTTATGAAACCTCTGCCTTTAGTAAAAATCGGTAGTTCACTATCAATAAAAGTTGGTATATCTTTTTGTCTACCTTTGACCCTGAGTTGTAAACTCACCATCATCTCGAGTCAGTAACCATCTATCTTTTCGCGGCCTATGTATGGCGTTTTCTTTGTTAGAGTGAGAAAATCCTTTTCTCTCGAAGTTATTCCCCAATAAGAGTCTCTCTTCGAAGTTTACAGATCTGTTTCTCTAGTAGAGTTATAATCTCTTCCCCTGTGGATTATTTTTCATGTGCTTGATTTCTCCAACATTAGTTTGTCTCATGCAGCATCATTCCCCATAAGATTCAAATGTTACATTCATATCATAAACACAATGGTGGTATCTTAGGGCCAAAAATTGTGTATTCTATATTTAAGTCCCTTCAATCTCGTCAAGATGAAGATTTCAATCTTCATATCTCCAGATAGAAGAAACTTAAATAGGAGCAGCTATCATACCCCAATTTTTGACCTAAGATTCCATATTCATTTGCATTTTTTTATATACATCAAGGTCACGAAATATGGTCGGTTTCGAACTTCTCACCTTCGAGTATTACCTGTGTAGAGATTATCGAGTGTTGTGAATGTTTTATCTTATGCATGACTAACTTCTAATCTCGGAGCATGGAGTCTCGAACATCATTCAGACTCATTTTGATCACGGATATCTCAAGTGTGATAGCTTGTTTCGGGGAACTTTTAGAGAATCGTGTGTTTATTTCCACACTCTATTCAACAAGTGGCCTCAAGTTTCTCTGAAATTCTTCACACAAAAAAACAGTCAAGGTTCCATGACCACTGGTTCACGCGTGTTCCACCTTGCCTTAAAATATAAGAAAAATCAGGCCATACGAGTCAATTCTAAACACTTCGACCAAAAGACATCAGCAAGTTTTCTTTAAAAGTTGAAGACAAATTGTGTTTAGAAAGCCATGAAAAGCCTTTATAGGACGTTTGTCATGATTTAAGAGTTTCTGGATCTCTAAGTTCAATTCATTGTGCCAAAATCTCAATGCAATTACCTTTCGCCTTAAATCCCCCTTCTAGTGATCATTCGAAGCTTTTAAATATGGTTCGATTTCTTATACTTACATGATGCGGGGTGAATTTCATCAGAGTGGGGTGATTGAATTCAAGATTGCTTTAGAGGAATTTATTTAGAATACTTGTAGTTTTTCATCATGTGAATTCAAGTGTTAACCAAATAGAAGTTATCAAAAGGGCTCATTCGAGATTCAAATCATTCCTCACATTGCATTTATTCAAGATTATTTTCAAGGGCACAATATTTCAAAGTCATTATTGACCGTTTTATGTGATTACTTTGATGGATTCACATCATGGCCATTTGAATTCACATGAGGTATTTATTAAAGAAGATATTGAAAAGAGAAACTTGATTCAAATAATCATTCATCACAAGAATAAATACATGATGGTTACAACTTCATTACAAGATCAATTCATGTAATTAATTTGGATCTCTAATAACAAATACAAGATGCAAGATTGAGGTCTTAAGGCATGCATCATTATTCATTCATTATTCAAAAATTCATTCAAGTATCAATCAAACCCTTTCCAAATTCAAGTTGAATATTTCAAATTTCATCAAGACGAATATAAAGATTCAAAGTTTCAAATGATCCAAATTGTTTACAATTACAAAGGAATTGGGAGAAAATTATAATCAAGACAAGTTTCCATTCATGTTACATAAAAATATAAGTTTTAGACCTATTGTTATTTTTAAAAGCTTCAAATCTTGCTCCAGTAAACCTTGATGTCCAACAATATAAATCATCCCAATATCAATTTGCAACTACCTACAAACCAGTCCAGAAATAGCAGCCTGCAATAGTCCAAATTCTGCCAAACAATGGCGATAAATCAGCCTAAATCAGTCTGTTATACAGCCTGCTGCCCTGCATCATAACAGCCAAGAGGTTACACCAAAAAGGCAACTCAAAACTGTATGAAAAAGCATCAAAACAGGGCATTCATATTTGTTAAAAATCTATACAATTTTCCCTCTCAATTCCACTCCACTGTGCTTAAAAGGAAACCAAAGAAAGCTACTTTGGGGTAGAGAGAAAAAGGAGAAAAATTGGTTCAGGAATCACAACAAGAATCAGAGTTAAAGAATTTTGAGTATCAACAAAGGGAGGGAGAACTTACTATTTTTGAAGCTCCATCAGAGAGACTCCGATAGGTATATTCCTCTCCATTATACTCTGCATAATCTTCTCATAATCTTCTTTCGCATATCAGTATTCGTTTTGCCCCGCTTGCACGCTACCCTCACTACATAATTGATTATTCTCTTTGCATCATTTTCTTTATGCCATATGAATGTATGATTTATCACAACCTTTATATATATATATATATATATATATATATATATATATATATATATATATATATATATATATATATATATATATATATATATATATATATATATATATATATATATATATATATATATATATATATATATATATATATATTCTGAAAATTACTGTAACTTGTAAATGTTATAAAATGTTAGAGAAAAAACCAAAAAAATTACACAGAAAAAAATAAAAAACTCAACAAACCTGCTTCAAATAACCTTCTTCATTCTAACCTCTCTTTAAATTCCAACTATTGCCTGTAAACATCAATACTACCGTCACCTCAAATCGCCAACCAGCATCTCCACTGACCACCCGAAAAATTGCCTTGGCGATTTACCAATCGTATTCCTTTTCTTCAGTCTATTTTCCGAACACCCTATGTCTGTTACCTTTCATCACATAACAGTAATCCCACAACCTCCGGCCAGCGAGCCAGTGATATCACCATCATTAGCTACATGTGATTACTCCCTCCGTCTCCATACCCTCTCTGTCCGAACACAATCCATTCATCCATTACCACGACCCAATTGACCCATCTCACGCTAACCCTTACCATATTCATACTTCAACTTACAAATTCCAAACAGTTGTTCCCTCTACCGTTCAGATAACTCAGCCTCATATCCAAACCTGCTACATCATTTTGTTACACCTCTACCCATGGACACCATCAGTCTCTCCTTCGCTCTCACACTCCATTGTCAACCCGTTCAAGCACCTCCATTTTTTCGCTCGCAAATCAACCTCCCTCCATCGCGTTTCACCTCACCACCAGCTTTACCTTACTGTGAACCACCCTTCATCTTTCAACACAGTACTATACTCCCTCCCTTCTCCATGATAACTTCTGATACTCCATCTCAACAATGACCAACACAGCGCCTTAAAACCCTCTCTCTTAGTTTCAGACCTGAACCAATCAATATCCGCCTCTTTTTTTTCCATGACAAACTTTATGATTTCTAAAAGCTGATATGTAAGATAGAAAAAAGATAGAGAAAGCCGTGGAAAGAACAAGGATAGAGAGATAAAGAATTTTGAATAGGTAAGAGAGAGTTTTAATTTTGTTTTTTCATGGTAAACATAGAAAATACGGTGTATTGGGAATCGAATTAAATCTGTATTCTTTCCCTTCCCAATAACCATAAATCATACGCCTTTCTCTTGTTTAGGGTTTTCAAAAACCCTTCCTTTTCTCTTTCCAAACCGGGTCGGCCCATTGGGCCTCTTGGCCCAATCACATCATCATCATCGCCTTTTATTTCAATTAAAGCATGGATATAATAGATAAAAAATGTAGTTCAGTGACAAGGCATATCCGTTGCAACCCAAGAGACCTGGGTTCGATCCCTTATTATTACCCTTTTCAAGTTTTAGTATTCTTACCCTAATTCATTTAATATACATGAAAATATTAGTTTAGATTTTTATTATTTATCCCTTATCATAAATACAAAAATACATGCTATTATAAATTAGTCTTGTATTTAATTTTTATTATTTAATTGTTCAAAAATACGTGCTAGTATAAATTAATCTTCTATTTAATTTTTATTATTTAACTTTATTCTCATCATTTAATCTTTATATCTTTCGTTCTTCTAAATTCCAAGGGAAATGTTTTAACTTTGTTGACTTCATGTTATCAAATATATCTTATAAGATTGTGCGAAACCCTTTATACATTTTAGTTTTTGTTAAACTTAAGTTAATTTTCTTAAAAGACTCGATTTTAAAACTCACACCTTTTAAGTCAAAACTTTGACACTAGGTCGTCGTATCTTCAAAATCTCATTCACACCCACTTTAACCAAACAAACAATTTTAACCAAAAAACAGATATTTCAAAAAGTTCATGTGGAGTACCGCAGATGCATTGGGTGCTAGTACCTTCCCTTTGTATAACCAACCCCCGAACCTTTAATCTCTTTCAAAAAACGCATTGTATTTTCATTACTTTTAAGTACTACTTTACATTGCATATTTAAGGGTTTTATTTCGCTCTTTTCCCTTTTCCCGTGGAAATAATAAAGTGCGGTGGTGACTCTTGCTTTTGTGAGTCGAGTTAATTAATAGCTTGATCTCCGATTTACACCGTTACATTTTTTATCGCTACAAAATTGGCAACTCTGCTGGGGACAGATTGACCTCTTGCTGGTCCATCCCAAAGTGGGTTAAGCCTAATTTGTCATATATGTTTTATTATTGTTTGTTTGTTTGATTATATGTTATATATTATGGTTATTTGGGTGTTGATGATACTTACAAAGGACAAGTCCTATACCCAGACTAAGTTACACTTAAGAATAGGACGGGCGGTATAGTCATGTTAACTTTGAGGGAGTAATCCCGAAGAAGGAGACATGAAATCCCTCACTCAGTGGAAGCCCCTTTGATTGTAGTATTCGTTTACCGAGTATTCAGGAAGGTGTTACTGCTTTCAACCTGGGAGCCAGAGAAGCTGAGAACCGTAGAACCCTTAACCCATCTTGGCTTCTTAGGTGTAGTGCGGAGACTATAACAGAGTAATCAAAAAGTAGTTATCACGCGATGCTGTACTCAGACGAGTTTCTCTTGAGAATGTTGTTAGTTACCGAGTAATCAGGACATTGGTAATATCCGAAGGAGGATCGTAGAGTTTGGGGACTTTTAGAACCATGTTTTACAGGTGTGATTAAACCTTTAGTACATACCTTGGGATGGTCTTTACCTTTGACTCCATGCTCATAGCGTTGAACCTTTGAACCCCCCGTGTTTGTGAGCTTATGTGTAATTTTTGCATTATCATTCATTCATGCACCCATAAGCATTCTTTAAACATGTTTTTCAAGGAACTTAAGAATGGTTTTTACAGACAACTCAGATACTTTTTACCATGGATTTTGGAAAAAGGAACACTCGGAGTTACAGTTTCAAGGATCATGAGATTGAAGAGTTGAAAAGTTTGATTCCCAAGATTGAGAACCTTACGGATTTCCGAAAGAATTATGGATCTATTATTCCTTTTATGAAGCGCAAGATGAAGGAGGGTATCCTTACTACGTTGGACCAGTTCTATGATCTGTTGTATCAATGCTTCACTTTTCCTGATTATCAGTTGATTCCCACTTTGGAAGAGTATTCCTATATACTTGGTTTACCAATCACCGACTGTGTTCCTTTCTCTGGTTTAGAAGGGGAACCCAAGTCTCATGAGATAGAAGCAGTTATCCACTTGAGGAAGTCCAAGATAGAAGATAACATGACTACCAAGGGAGGAATCTGAGGCTTACCTGCACAGTTTTTGTTGAAGAAAGCTCGTTACTTTGCCGAGATAAAGGATATTGTCGCCTTTGAAGCTGTATTTACTTTGCTTTCTTATGGGTTGTTCTTGTTCCCTAACATCGATAAGTTCGTGGATGTCAATACCATTAGAATCTTTTTTATTGGAAAGCCAGTCCCTACGCTGCTAGGAGATACCTTATTTTCCATCCATCTCGGAATTCCTATCAAGGTGGGATGATTATATGTTGTACACCATTGTTATACCAGTGGTATGTTTCCCATTTACCTGGGTCTTGTGTTTTTTGGGATCTCAAGAAGGAGCCACGATGGGCGCCAAAAATTATAGCTCTTACTCATTCTAAAATTGATTTGTATAATCAAGCTTACTATGATGTAAAGATCATTGATAGTTGTGGTGTTTTTCCCAACGTGCCTCTTCTTGGTACGAAGGGAGGAATTAACTATAATCTTGTTCTTGCATGCCGCCAGTTTGGATACCCAATGAAAGACAAGCCAAACAACATTTATCTGAGTGGTTTCTTTCTCCAAGAAGGAAAACATCACAAAGCAGCTAAGGAGGAGATTGAAACGGCTTGGCGCCATGTCCATAGAAAGGGAAGAGACATGTTAGGGTAGAGAGGTATTGTTTCTTTGGAGCCTTACCTTCAACGGGTTCGTGCTAGGGCTTGTGCTCTCAAGATGCCTTATTATCCCGAGAAACCCTTATTCCCTGTTGCTACACCATTATCTACTGCCATTCATATTGAGAACATGAAAGACTATCAGGAAACTCTAGCTAGAATGTAGTCTGAAAAGAGATGCTTGGAAGGAAAATGTAGTACATTAGAATACGAAAACAGGGTCCTGAATAGACAGTTGAAGGAGAAGGAGGATATGTTATTTATTCAAGATGGTTGGTTCATTGATCGTGATGAGAAGCTTTATCAAAAAGATGCATTGCTCAAGAAATATGCTAAGGAAAAGAAGAGGAAGAAGGAAGATTTTATAAATGTTCCTAATCCAAGTAAGAAAGTTGTTGATCAGCTGATAGCTGAGAAGACGGAGATGGAAGACTTCTATTAAAATAAGATTAGGAAGCTCAAGTTACAAGTAGCGTTTGGTCCTTTTTCCGATGATGATTCTGAATGATCATAGTCCCTAGCTTTTATTACTTATGTCATTTTGTAAAACTCTTTAAAGGGATTTTATGTTCCAAAGTTGTAATTTTCTGCCTTTTATTAATGAAATAAGTTTTGTTGTTCCAAATTTCTTTACCATTTATGTTTGCAAGTTATCAAAGTTTTAAAGTTCCTTGAAAAAACTATCAAAAAAATAATCATTTGCATAGCATATCATGCATCATTCAACATTCAATCTTACATGTTTTATAGAGTCTTATTTTTGCTTCTTTTTCCACTCTGATAGATCATCAAGTTGTTTCACCAATATAATACCCGAGCCAATCGTCGAAAGAGAATGGAAGATCTAGAACAAGAAAATCATGAGCTTCGCGAGGAGCTTACTACTCTTCGTACTGGAATGGAAAAATTGACCGCTTTGGTGGAAAGCTTGATGGCTGCTCAAAATCAGCCATCGACTTCGTCCACTAAAGTTCAAGCTCAAACTACTACGATTTTCAAGATCATCACTGCTCCAGCCTCTTTGGCTCAAGTCAACCCTCCACAACATAAAATTCCAAAAGGTTTTCCATGGGGTATGCCTTACAATTTCACGCCAGAAGGGTACCAGCCTATTGTGCAGCCCGTGATCCAACCTATTGTATCTTTTCCTCAACCTGAGATGACTATTGTGCAACCCGTGATCCAACCTATGGTATCTTTCCCTCAACCTGTAATGACTATTGTTGCTCTTGTGGTTCACATTATTCAATATACAAATGAACCCATTTATCATATTGAACCTATTGAAAGTTTAGGCATCTTCGATAGGATGGATGAGTTCCAAGACCAATTCAAGAAATACAGAGGGAAATTAGAGCACTTAAAGGGATAGACTTGTTCGGGAAAAATGCTCACGACTTGTGTTTGGTCCCAAATGTGAAAATCCCAGCTAAGTTCAAAGTGCCAGACTTTGAAAAATACAAAGGTGACTCATGTCTGAAAAGTCACATGACTATATATATGAGGAAGATGTCCACCTACTCTAATGATCATAAGCTATTAATTCATTACTTCCAAGACAACTTAACTGGTGCCATCCTGAAATGGTACATGGGTTTGGATAGCACCCGGATCCGCAACTTCAATGACCTCATTAAGGCTTTTGTTCGTCAATACAAGTATAATGTTGACATGGCCCCGGACTGAGATCAACTCCGAGTTATGTCCCATAAGGATAGAGAATCTTTTAAAGAATATGCCCAAAGGTGGCGTGAGATTGCTGCTCAAATCTATCCTCCCCTCGAAGAAAAAGAAATGATGAAGATTTTTCTGAAAACATTAGGTCCCTTCTACTATGAGAGAATGATCGCAAGTGCGCCTAGCGACTTCACTGAAATGGTGAACATGAGCATGCGACTTGAAGAGGGAATCCGTGAAGGGCGTCTAGCCAAGGAAGGTGGTACATCTAGTGGTGTTAAGAAATTT